ACATTATTATATGATCTATATACAGTCAGGTCCAGAAATATTGGGACATCAACACAATTTTAACATCTTTGGCTCTATACACCACCACAATGGAGTTGGAATGAAACAAATACAATGTGCATTAACTGCAGACTGTCAGCTTTAATTTGAGAGTATGTACATCCAACTCAGGTGAACGGTGTAGGACTTACAGCAGTTTGCATATGTGCCTCCCACTTGTTAAGGGACCAAAAGTAATGGGACAATTGGCTTCTCAGCTGTTCCATGGCCAGGTGTGTGATATTCCCTCATTACCCCAATTACAATGTGCAGATAAAAGGCCCAGAGTTCATTTCAAGTGCGCTATTTGCATTTGGAATCTGTTGCTGTCAACTCTCAAGATGAGATCCAAAGAGCTGTCACTATCAGTGAAGTAAGCCATCATTAGGCTGAAGAAACAAAACAAACCCATCAGAGAGACAGCAAGAACATTAGGCGTGGCCAAAACAACTGTTTGAAACATTCTCAAAAAGAAGGAATGCACCGGTGAGCTCAGCAACACCAAAAGACCTGGGAGACCACGGAAAACAAGTGTGGTGGATGACCGAAGAATTCTTTCCCTGGTGAAGAAAACACCCTTCACAACAGTTGGCTAGATCAAGAACACTCTCCAGGAGGTAGGTGTATGTGTGTCAAAGTCAACAATCAAGAGAAGACTTCACCAGAGTGAATACAGAGGGTTCACCACAAGATGTAAACCATTGGTGAGCCTCAAAAACAGGAAGGCCAGATTAGAGTTTGCCAAACAACATCTAACAAAGCCTTCACAGTTCTGGAACAAGATCCTATGGACAGATGAGACCAAGATCAATTTGTACCAGAGTGATGGGAAGAGAAGAGTATGGAGAAGGAAAGGAATTGCTCATGATCCTAAGCATACCACCTCATCAGTGAAGCATGGGGGTGGTAATGTCATGGCATGGGCATGTATGGCTGCCAATGGAACTGGTTCTCTTGTATTTATTGATGATGTGACTGCTGACAAAAGCAGCAGGATGAATTCTGAAGTGTTTCGGGCAATATTATCTGCTCACATTCAGCCAAATGCTGCAGAACTCATTGGATGGCGCTTCACAGTGCAGATGGACAATGACCCAAAGCATACTGCAAAAGCAATCAAAGAGTTTTTGAAGGGACAGAAGTGGAATGTTATGCAATGGCCAAGTCAATCACCTGACCTGAATCCCATTGAGCATGCATTTCACTTGCAGAAGACAAAACTGAAGGGAAAATGCCCCAAGAACAAGCAGGAACTAAAGACAGTTGCAGTAGAGGCCTGGCAGAGCATCACCAGGGATGAAACCCAGCGTCTGGTGATGTCTATGCATTCCAGACTTCAGGCTGTGATTGACTGCAAAGGATTTACAACCAAGTATTAAGAAGGGAAAGTTTGATTTATGATTATTATTCTGTCCCATTACTTTTGGTCCCTTAACAAATAGGACGCACAGACTTCCTGCCTGGCTCCGCAGCTTTGAAGACGCTCCTTTTTGAGCGCCCGTTTTCTGGTTCCGTAAAAGCCCCAGAACAGCCGGAAAACTGCTGTCTGGAGGCTTGGAACCCTCTCCCCGGGCAAAGGGGAGAGAGAAGAGTCGACAGGCGGGGGTAGAGCCCCCCCCAAGTGCGCTAGGAGAAATCCTGGGGCGCAAAGGGTGTGGGCTCCCTATTGAAGCCTGTCAAGCCACTCCGGACCAGAAATGACTCCGCTGAAGCGGAGCTAGAAGCTGCGACCAGAATCTGCAGAAAAATCAACAGGGGGGATTTTTAACATCTTTACTTCGATCGCAGACGGAGCAAATCAGGAGAAAACAAAAGGAAATTTGCAAGTAACACTTTAACTCCGCTTTAATATGCAGAAAATGGCGCCTGAGGGCGGGAGGAAGAAACTACCAGGGGAAGTGCTCGTTAATGGCTTGTTAACACTTTACAGCTACTGGATTACACCCTAAGAGAAAGTTTTAAATGGAAGAGGCCAGGAAAAGAATTTGGTATTGAGGGAAAGAATTTGGTACTGACTTTAACTAAAATCTGGTCTTTATACTGTGTGGAAAAAAGTTGAATTGTTCTCCTGATAGCTGGATAAATACAAAGTAGCTGAAATATGGCTGACAACAGGGCTGGTGAATCAGCAAATTCCCAAGCCGTGACTGTCCAGGCTTTTCAAGAACTTCTAGACGTTTTTACCTCAGCCCTGCTGAATACAATCGAAAGGGCTTTTTCAAAAAATAGCTTGGGAAATTATAAGCAAGAAATTATTCAGAAGAATTTGTTTTTGGAAGATCAGGAAATGGACAGGATTAAGAGATTGGCTGGTACAGCTGAAACAAAGGTTTTGGTGGACGTTTCCATTCCAATGACAGAAAAGCAACAAATGGTTTCTTTATTGCAAGCTGACAATCTTTATGGCAACAAATTTTGGCTATATGGACAAAGAAATGGATTGAATGATTATACAAACCAGAAGAGACGAGATGAGGATTTTAAGTTAGAAAAGCTGACTTCAAGAAGAGAGCGAGTATTTCAGAAACATCAAGCTCAAATCACTATTTTAAAAGTTTCCAAAATAAAACTGGGGGGATTGTTGAAAGAATTTATAAAAAAAAAGGATTGGAAAAAATACAAAAAGAAGTGAAGAACAGAAGATTAAGAAAGATATTCTGTGGATTTTGAAATTGGCAACGGGCAAATATGTGTTTTAATGGTATTAAAAGATTTTTAAAATGTTTAACATAAGGTTATATTATTCTACAAGATATATGAGATAAATTGTATAAGCTTTTAGGATGTTTAACCCTTTGAAGCGAAGAGGATTAATGTTAAACTCAGAATTTTATTGTAAACTGATAATTAGTTTTGGATAGTTAAGGGTTGTTCTTTTAAAAAAGTTAGAGGTATTAAGACGGTTAATTGAAAAATTGAAAGATACCCTCCTATAGATTCTGAAATTTATATTTGGTAAATAAGTGTTTTAAAGGTATTAAGAGATTTTTAAAATGCTTAACATTAGACTATATTATTTTAAAAGATATATGAGATAAAATGTGCAAGATTCTAAGATGAAAAAATTTTTTTCTGCTTTAGAAATGGAATTTATTCATGATTTTTATTGCTTGTAAGACTGCTAAAATATTGGATTATGCATTAAGAAAAAGGTTTTTTTTTTTCTTTTTTTTCTATATAAGTAGGATGAATTTAATTTAATTGGTATTGAGAATTTATAAAAGGGAGGTTGTTGAATTGGAGCAAAGGGAGTTAAAGAACATGTGGGAGCTTTGAACTTTATAATTTGTTAGTTTATTTTAGCATATGTTTGTTAGATGCTATACCCTGTTTTTGCTCTGGGAAGTCAGGGGTGGGGTGGGGAGGGGGGGGAAGTGATGAATGTTTTAGCAGAAGAAAGTGTATTCTAGAATATAGGAGTTGCTCAGATACTAAAGGAGGAAAATATTTCACAGCAAAGAAGTTAGAAAGGAGAGAGGAGGAGTGGGTAGGAAGAGGAGAGGGAGGGAGAGGAATGGAAGAAAGGAGAGGAGGAAGGGAAGGGAAGGGAAGGGGACAGGAGTAGGAGTGAAGGCGAGAAGAGGGAAAAGAAGAGAGAAGTGGGGGAAAGGGAAAGGAAGTAGAATGAGGTGGGAGAAGAGGTAGGAGGGAAGAGGAGGGAGGGATGGGAAAGAAAGGAGGAGGAGAAGAGGGTTTGTTGTGGAATGAGGGAAGAAGGAGAAGAGCAACTCCGAATATAATTAAAATGTTTTATTTTAATGCTTTCTTTAAGGGAAACATGTATATGGAGGATTTCTTATGTACAAGAAAATGTATAATTTATGTGGGGAAGGGAAAGGGTGGGGGGGAGAAAATTGTTTGTATTTCTTATAAAACTTTTTAATTAAAAAAAATAGGACGCACATATGCAAACTGCTATAAGTCCTACACCGTTCACCTGAGTTGGATGTACATACCCTCAAATTAAAGCTGACAGTCTGCAGTTAAAGCACATTGTGTTTGTTTCATTCCAACTCCATTGTGGTGGTGTATAGAGCCAAAGATGTTAGAATTGTGTCAATGTCCCAATATTTCTGGACCTGACTGTACATTAACTATATTTTATATCTTATATGCAGCCCAAGACAATTCCACTTAACTCAGTGCAGCTCAGGCAAGCCAAAAGATTGGACATCCATGCCTTAAAATAAAAAGAGAATAGCAATAGAAAAACATTTACACTATTTGTTCATTTGATTTATGTCTCTCTCTCTCTCTCTCTCTCCCCCCCCCCCCAATTTTATAAAGTTCAGTATTACTACAAAGCTTATGCCTTAGAACTATATAAGAGTGCAACCTGGTGTCTTTAGAAAACTCAAGCTAAGGAACAATATTTTTTAAAAATGCTCATTTTACCCAAAAGCATCAGTATTATTTATTAAATTGGTACAAACATATTTTTCAAATCAGCAAAATAATTTTTAAATAGATCATATAATTCACTTGTATTCACTTTTGTCCTTAGATACTGGCAAATGGAATCTAAGACTGTAATCTCCACAGACAATAAAAAAAAAAAACCAATCCAAGGAAGAGTCCTCCTTCGCATATACAAATAAAAAACAGAAAAGGTTGTATAGTATAGCTGGAAATTAGGGATTGCCAACCATTCCATGCATGGAACAGTTGGTTCTCCTTGATCTGTACCAGAACTGAAACATGTTTTTGATGTTTTGGTTCATAAAACCAACTTCTGAGTAAAGGGAGAGGGAAGGGGAGGGGGAGAGAGCAGAGAAAAATACCAACTATTGGGTAGTGGCAGGAAGATTAGTGGGACAAACAGGCCAGGCGGCAGGGGACAAAAACTGGGACGGCCGAGGACAGGAAAGGCAGGGCCTGGAAAGATGCAGGGAGATGCAAGACCTATAAAATCCCCTTACTGTGGAACCTACATATATGTAGAACTGTAGAAAAATAATTTATTCTTGCTTATTGAAAGTGATATGTTTTAATTTATAGGTTAATCTCTTGGACTGGAAGAAAGATTGATCCTGTTGGTGTGGATTATATTCTTCAGAAGCTTGGTTTCCATCATGCAAGAACCACTATTCCTAAGTGGCTTCAACGTGGAGTCATGGATCCCCTGGATAAAGTTTTGTCAGTTCTCATAAAAAAACTTGGCACTGCATTACAGGATGAAAAAGAAAAGAAAGGAAAAGACAAGGAAGATCACTAAAAATCCTAGAATTAGGATGGCAAACAGAGACTTTTTAATTTAAAATCATTTGTTTTATGGTATGGTCACTGTATAATTTTAAAACAATTTACACTGAAAGAACCTAACGGCTTTTTTTGCTGCTATATTTAAAACTTCATCAATATTATGAATAACTTATTTTGAAGGAGGATTCCATTTTGTGTTCAGTCTAGCACTGCATGACCAATGTTGTGAAGAAAACTATGAAACTATGAACTGTTTTGATATTTACAACTATATTGTGTGCAATATTCTGCATCAGTTGTATCAGTTTGTTATACTTGAAATAAAAATTAATATCAAATGTAACCAAGTTTAATTGATCATTTTTTACAAGGTACATTTATAAATATTAGACGGATATATGGGGAAAGTACTGGATATTGTCAAATAAAAAGCTCCAACACTAATGGCATTATTTACTTTCAGATGAGATTTTAAAACTGTGTATTGTACCCATTGTGTTACTCCCACCAGAATACCAATTTAATAGACAATATCTACATAAATGTAACTATACACCGTCATATATTTTGGAATATCTTGATCACACATTTTTAAGATTTCAGTGAAAAAGATTAAATTGAAGTGCAGTATTCCTTCTAAATTCAATGTAAATTAATAACATACATTAATGGCAGGAATAATCAACATCCCAGATTATAGGTTTAGGATCCAAATACATATTGACAAATATGTATGTGTGTGTACACCAGAGGTGGGTTTCAGCAGGTTCTAACCAGTTCTGGAGAACCGGTAGCGGAAATTTTGAATAGTTCAGAGAACCAATAAATACCACCTCTGACTGGCCCCGCCCCATCCTCTGCCTCCTGAGTCCAAGCTGATTGGGAGGAAATGGGGATTTTGCAGTAACCTTCCCCTGGAGTGGGGAAGGAATGGAGATTTTACAGTATCCTTCCCCTGCTATGCCCACCAAGCCATGCCAGGCCCACAGAACCGGTAGTAAAAAAAATTGAAACTCACCACTGGTGTACACCCTATAATCTGGGGTGTTAGCTATTCCTGCCAGTTTAGTGTAATCTAAAAATTTGATGAATTCCCCTTCTGTTCCCTCATCTAAATTGTTTATGAAGATAGAGTACTGGGCCTACAAGAGTATCTTGTACCCCACTGCCTACTTCCTTCCATGTAGATGTAAAACCATTAAGGACTTACTCGTTGAGTAGTTTGTCAACCAGTTACAAATCCATCTAGTAGTGCTATCTATCTATCTATTTATCTATCTATCTATCTTATCTATCTATCTATCTAGTCAAGCATGTATTTTATGACAAATACAAGTGTAAACATAACTAGAAATACATGAAAAGGATACGAGTAAAAGAAAAATATTAGGACAGGGAGGATAGGCATGTTGGTGCGCTTATGCACGCCCCTTACTCGCATCTTTCTAATTTATCAAAAGTAGGTTATGGTCTACTTTGCTGAATATCTTACTGAAATCCAGGTATAGTATGTCCATAGCATGTCCACATGTATATTCATTGTTATGTATGGCGGAGGCTGTAAGGTTACATTTGGGCCAGCCAGACTCGGTAATACGGCCAAGCTGAGCCAAGCGGCGCTAGATCCATCAGGTGTAGCTTTTCCCACTAATTCCGCCTCGGAATAAAGACGTTTCAGAAGCTCCCTCTCCCTATTCGTCCAACTCCTTAAAGCGGGCGGCAGCCCTCGCTCTTAAAAACGAGCGGCCAGATAAAGCCGTCTTTTCCTTTCCAACTGATCAGGAGGAGGACGCGTGTTCCCACCTCCCTTCCACAGACGCCGCTCCGCTCTTGCAGCGGCCGGGAACGCTCGTTTGTTTCCAAGAGGATTCCCAACCAGCGAGCCGCCGCCCAAGAACGTTAAAGCGTCGGGCGGAGGAGGAGGAGGAGGAGGAGGAGAAGAAGTGTTAACCACGTGACCGGCAGCCTTAAAAGCGGGCGAAGACGGCGCTTTCCCGCGTGGGATTCTAGAACTCCGGAGGTTCGGTCCCGCGCGGTGCGCGCTTTCTTTTCAGCTTCGTGTAGTTTCTCTCGAAGGCGGAGTTTCCGTTGGAGCTCGTTGGGTGGGTTGAGGGTTAGTGAGTGGCCGCCTTCGTTTCCTAAGGGTGGCAAATTCCCCTCCTGCCCCACCTTCCCGCCCATTCTTCTCCTTGGCGCACAAGGAGAGCCGCCTTTATTGACGCCGGAATGCCCTGCTGATAGATAACGCGCTGTTGTTTCGACTTGGTTTTTAGGTGAGAAAAGATGGCAAATGACTGGGCTCAGGTTTCTAGAGTACCTAGTTTTGCTCAAATGTTGAAGAAGAACTTGCCTGCCCAGCCACCCCAACCTTCTGCCCCGTCTTCGTCTCACAGTAGTTTGTTTCGGCAAGCGGAGAATGCTAAACCGATGTTTTTAATCCCAGAAACATCCAGTGTATCAAACTTGGCGTCTAAGGTGACCCCTATTACAGGTATTGGTTTTGAATGATGGCTTTCCCTATTATGTTGTCTACCAACGTTAAGGAATTAGGATTTAAAGCATTCTATAAACAATGTAGTAAATGCATATAGGCTAGGACTATGATTAAACTATGGATACGTGCCTAGCCCAATCTTTGGATGGTAGATTCTCATCCTTAAAGGTAATACCTAATATGGTATTAAAAGGTAATACCATAATACAGATGCTGGTGTATAAGTGTAATGAGGCCTGGCTGCTTTTACTTTAATAGATTAACTTGGTTACAATTTAAAGTATTCCTTTTTAAATTATAGTTTAATGTAAATTTTAAACTTTTATTCCACATATTCTCCCATTGTTTAAGCGTTATATTATACTCAAAGTTCCTTGCCCACTGAATCATACAATGCTTTACTTGTTCATTTTCCAGATTTAAATTCAATAACATTTTATAGACTTTAGCAATAATATGTTCATCACTACCACACAATAGAATTTATTTTTGACAAAGTTAAACCCATAATTCTTTTTGTCTACTTTAAATCTTTCTTTCAATTGTAGATATGTAAACCCATGGTAGACATGACCTTCTGAATCTAGCTCCTTCTTAGATTTGAGGGTAGGGTCACCCAAATTGAAAGATTATTTTACCAGAAGTCTTAACAGTTTGGCCTCACCATTTCTTTTCTTTAAAAAGCTTCCAGTGGGGAAACCCAAAGAGGCAGCTTCATGGAAAACCTTGTTTTACATTTATTCCAAACTCTCAAAATGGCAAGTCTGACAAAACGGTTGTTGAAATCAACATTAACTTTCTCATACCATAGGTAACCGTGCCATCCAAATCTTAATTCATGACTTTCCAAGTCCAGTAGCCTCTTATTCTGAAGGTTCACCCATTCTTTTAGCCAAACCAAACAGCAGGCATCAAAGTACAGTTTGAATTTAAAGTATTTCTTGATTATTTTATTCCTTACATTTTTGCAAAATTGTTCTACAGAAGCATTTGATTCAAAAAGTAATAACTAGCAAAAAGAGTTATCTTTCCAACATTTAATAATGACCATAGTAAAATTAGTATATTGACACTTTTGAGCCTTGGAACAGAACATTAAAAGAAAACAGTATTTGGAGTAAAATACTAGAATTTTGAAAATAATATTGAAAATAACTGGCTGGGAGTTGAAGTCCACACATCTTCAAGTAACCATGATTGAGAACACTGGTATAGTGAGCAAAGCAATATGTAGTTGTAGCATACAACTACAGTATAGTAGTGGAAAACTGTCCACTGTTTTCTTTTTACTGAGGTCAGAATTCAGATATTCCAGTTTCACGTTTGGATCAAATCTTTACAGTCCATTTGAGTCTAAGGCAACCATCAGACTTGTTCCAAGTCATTCTTTTTCATTTAAGGGTGATTTCATGGGCAAGACTAAATTCTCACATTGGATGGGTTTAACTGCTCTTTTTGAAATCAATTCTCTTGAGGCAAGACATTTTTTATTTGGCAGTGTATATGTTTGATATTTTTTAGCTTTTTTAAAAAACTTCATTGGGCTGGAAACCATAAATTTTCTTCATAAGAAACTACTCTTGAAGGCTTAGGAGCCTGGTGGCAACTCTCTCAGATGTTGCAATACACCTCCAACCATATGAAAGACAGTATATTCTTTGCCACTGGCCAGTTTTAAGTCTGCTCCCAATTTTTTCTTGGCATGGTATTCGGCAGTGTCTCATTAAAGCCATTTCCAATTGTTCAAGACGTAGGAATTTTATTGAGAATAGGAGATATTTCCTCCTGTTGATTAGGATGCAAAACGTGTGCTGCCAGATGAGCTGAATTAAAACAAAATTTGGATCTCTCAAAAGACAGTTTTCTTATTTTTCCTTCATTTTTTGTGTTCTGGTGAATTGGACAAAATCTCAAGTGTTAATAAAATTATATACATTAGGAGCATTTGACAGATAAGCCCTATCTCTACGTTTCTTTTTCTTTTTTTTTTTTTTTGATTTATATGCCGCCCTTCTCCGAAGACTCACGGTGGCTTACAATGCGTTAAGCAATAACTTTCATACTATTGTATATTTTATACAAAGTCTGCTTATTGCCCCCACAAACCGGGTCCTCATTTTACCTACCTTAGAAAGGATGGAAGGCTGAGTCAACCTTGAGCCTGGTGAGAATTGAACTCGCAGTAATTGCAGGCAGCTGGAAGCTAAATACTACCTTTAACAGTAGCATTAGTCTGCTGCACCACTCAGGCTCCTTTTCTTGATGGATACTAAAATTGGTAGAAACAGATTGAATATCCCAGAGTTGCTTTTTTTTTTCCAAAGGTCAATTGAACTTTCTTGGTTTTTTTCCTTTGAAAACTGAAGAAGCTACTTGGATGAGAAGTGGAAAGGAAAAAAAAATAAAATCCAGTTGCATTTTTGGGGAAAAAAATAGCACCTTTGGCATAACCATGACCTGGATGACTGAGAATCTCCATGGACAAGCAAATTGAACGTTACTTGTCATTGGATACAAAACACATCAATAGAAAGAATTGGTTTCTTTACAATGGATTGTAAATTTATACAACATTGTGAGTTGTGACTATCTGTTGTGAGTATCTGTAGAGATACTCACAACAGAGACTTATGTCTTTGCGAAATAAAATCCAATTGTTAGAAAAGATCTCATTTAATGCCTTAAGGAAAAGCCTTATTAAGAATCATTCAAGAATATTTGATCTTGGATGGACCAGAGATAATGATTGCTATGACTTATGGTAGACTAGAAGCCGTTGTGGACTTTCTGTGAATGAAGTACACACTTCTGTGAATGAAGATTGTTAACTGAGGATTTAGAAGTTTAATTCAGCTGTTGAATGTTTTCATATATTAGATAGATGCCAGGTTAAGTGGGTTGGGTAAACAGTATTATAGAAATTGGTCTGCCTGCTTCACAAGGGGGGGAATAGTTATTATTTTTGAAATATATTTATGAGTTATTCAGCTGGGGGGTATAATTTATGTATATGTATGTTTTGTCTTGTTTATGAACTTTTTTGGTTTAGTTTTTTTGTTTTTGTATTTTATCTTTTTGGAATTTGTGTTTTAATGTTTTGAATAAAATAAAAATTGAGTAAAAAAATTTGGTTTTGAATGCTCTGTAATTTGGGATATAAAATCATTTGTTGTAGTACATTGCTAATCATTATTTTAAAAAAAGAAAGATCTGAAAAGGAATGGTAGCTGTATTGCTAGTTTCCTGGCATTAAGCCTGTTTTCCATGATTCTCTTCCTAGAATCTTCAAACTTTAATTAGCAAGATATTAATTGTTGAATAGTTTCACAATAACTATATAGTTTGTTACTATTGTACAGTATTCCCATTTAGGTCTCTTACCAGAGTATGAGATAGACAATACTATACAATTACATTTAATATTTTCACTGCAACTTTCATGTTATTCATTATCAGTTATAAGAGCTGTTGTGAGACCTATATTTTCAGTCTGTACAGTTAGTAATTTGGCTACACATATGCTAGTATGCTAGATTTGGTAGCACTTGCTTCTCCATCATATTGCAAACATAATATTCATTAACAGAGTTCTTTGAATATGATTATCCATCTGACATTAGCTGTTGATACAGCTTGACAAACCTTTGGCACAACTGTTTGAATTGTTCTTAGATGTTGCACCAGTTATACATATTAATGCATTTGTAGTTCAGAATATCCAAGCATTTCATTTTATTATATATATAATTATATAATCTTTCTTACTAGTTACTGATTTTCTCATACAGTATTTATCTTGATAAACTTATAATGGTATTTTTAAAATAACTGTTAAAAGTTCTATCCTTCCCTGTACAGGTTCTTTAAAGGGGCAGATCAAGAATAAAATGGAATAAATGCAGAAAAAGTCTCATTTGTAAATTGACACTAAAGAGGAATTTTTGGAAGAGAAGAAATATAAATAACAACAATGAAGGATTGCTATGTTTCCGATCAAGTAAATGTTGTGATTCACATTAGTTTTTTTGTGCTCTTTACCAATGCGCTTTAGGTCATGACTATCAATATACTAAAACTGTTCCTATAGTTCCAATTACTTCACTTCCCCCCAAGAAAATTCCAAAGGAATTTATTGCAAAATACAAGCGAGGGGAGATCAATCCAGTCTCAGCTTTGCATCAGTTTGCACAAATGCAGCGCGTACAGCTTGAATTAAAGGAAACCGTGGCAACAGGTAATTTTTTTTATTGTAAGTTATCTGCACTGTCCTAATAGCTAGATGTTGAAATAGCCTAGAAAAAGCCTAGGAAACTGGTTTGCTGTAAATAAACTGCATATAGGACTCTATGGCTTGTTACCGTGTGGTTTTTCCTCAGTGTGGTGCAAGAAACTAGCAAACTAAAGTTTTTTTGACACACTGGTGGTGTGTCAAAGGTTCATACGATCTATAATGGGTGTCAAATTCGCGACCCATGGGCTGGATGCGTCACATGCTGGCCATGTCCATCTCCATTTTAGCAAAGGGGGGAAAAGTCACGATATGTCACATGACAACAATGTGACGACACAAGTTTGACACCCCTGATCTATAAGATCCGAAGCCAAACCAGAGTATGAAATTTATATTTATTAGATCCAGCCTTTATTTGTACAACTCAAGGTCTTGAACATAATGTTCCTGCTTTCTATTTTTTCCCCACAACAACAACCTGATGAGGTGGTTTGAGTTAATAAAGATTAGTCCAAAGTCACCCAGTCAACTCCCATGCCTAAGGGAGGACTAGAATCCATAGTCTCCCAGTTTCTAATCCAATGTCTTAACAAATGGTGAAAGGGGAAAAATAGAGAAAAAATTAGAGGTGCCTTAAGCTTCTAGAAGGCTTAAAATACTTACTGCATTTTTTAAATTTCCAACAAAAGAAAATAAAAATGTATCCCAACTACTATAGAGGCACTCCTGAATTAACCAGACCTAGTTAACATATTTTCTGAATTAAGCTATAGGAAACACTCTGAAAGCAAATCAAAGATCTTGATCCCAAAACTCAGAAATCCTGGTATAGTATATTTGAGAAATATGTAATGGCTATTCTAAATGCCATCTGTCAAGTATTAATTGTTCTACAGGCTTAGTTGTGAAGTCAGATCCCTTAAATTGCTGTTCCCAATAGTTTACTACGATATTGCATGCCAGACTTAAATAAGATTGTTAAGATACTTCTTATCACCTAGCTAAAATCTAAAATTCTCTTATGTAGAAATCTGATATAACACATTATGCTAGGAACTGGTAAATGGATGCTTACTTCACCCATTTATCTGGAAGAGGGTTTTATTTGGTGGTATGAAACAACTCACCAATCAATTTTGGAATATTTAAACATGTATTTCAATTCTGTTACCTTGACAAGAAGATTGCAATGTAATTGCATTTTGGATGAGGACAGAAAATCACTAAAGTGCTAACATGCTTGAGAATAACTTTTATTTTTTATTTTTTCTAAATCGAGGTAGACTAGAGTTTGATATTAGTAAAACATGCTTAAAGCTGGATGAAAACATGTTAATTTTTATAAAACTAGAAATAAATGTTTGCTTTCCTTTTTGCATTTTGAAGGAAATCTCTTGGGAACTTACTTTGCTTTTTGTGCTGTAGTTGATGGCATTCAGTATAAGACTGGATTGGGCCAAAATAAAAAGGAATCAAAATCAAATGCCGCAAAACTTGCTCTTGATGAACTTCTGCAATTGGAAGAGGCAGAACCAAAAGCTTTGGAAAAACCAGGTAAAGCTTTTATCTTGAAACATAAATGGATATTCTCTGTGTGCAATTGGAATTTGAGTGATGGAAGTAATATCGCCCCAACTGTTTAGTGCAGCGTCCCCCAACCTTTTGGGCACCAGGGATCAGTTCCATGGAGAGAGGTTTTTCCAACAACCGGGGGGGGGGGGGGGGGGAACGACACATGGTTTCACATCTGCCTGCATCTCGAATATGCGCTGATGGAGCTTCACTCGTTTGCTTGGCCCAGTTTCTGATGCCAGTCCATGGCCCAGAGTTTGGGGAACCCTGAATTAGTGGTATTCTTTATCTAAAGTTTAGTACTAGGGGCTTTGGAGTAAAGGGCAGATAGAATAATATTTCCTAACCTTGGAGTGGTAGGTAGGTTCTACATTATTGGGATACATTATCAAATGTAAAATAAGAATAGATTTAATATTGGAGTATAACATTTTCTTTAGAACATTTATTTATTTGGTAAATTTATGTAGCTACCCATCTCATATGTAGTATGTGACTGAATAGCGTACATATTTCTTTAAAAAACACAAAACAATACTGCAAAATAAACCACACAAAAGCCAACAAAAATATGAGAACAATAAAAATCATTCAAAACAATCTGCTGGAAAGCACTCAATTTTCCTGCCATATGGGTCTAGATGAAGAGAAGTTGAAATCAAATTGTAGAGTCCTAGATTTAATCTTTATGTAGAAGCTGCTGCCTTAAATAATGTTACATTTTTTTTTTTATTTGATTTATATGCCGCCCTTCTCTGAAGACTCAGGGCAGCTTACAGTGCGTTAAGCAATAGCCTTCATACTTTTGTATATTTATACAAAGTCAGCTTATTGCTCCCACAATCTGGGTCCTCATTTCACCTACCTTTGAAAGGATGGAAGGCTGAGTCAACCTTGAGCCTGGCAAGATTCGATCTTACTTTAATTGCAGACAGCTGATGTTAAATTACAGAGCTCTGTCTGTTGAGCTATCCAGGCTCATTTTATAAACCTACCTTGGTAACGTTTTCTCTTCTGCCAATATGATATTATTCTCTCCACATCTTAAATTGCTCTTAAGCATGTGATATTGAAGTGCTGATTTCCCTCTTACTCTGCTGCCATTGAAGAACAGTCCCACTATCTCACAGTTTTGTTAACGATTACCTTGGAAGGAAGTCATTTGACTGAATTAACTGGGAATAGGGTCAATGCAATCAGGACGGAATAGTAATGAGACAGAAAATTTCATACCAATATATATATATATATTATATATATATTTGGGGGGGGGGGCTCGGCTCAAGGATAGCATTTTACCTTAGTGGTATGGAAGGGTTTTCTCTTTATAACTGCTACTATGTTTGCAGGTCCTGTCAGAAATTTTGCTGAAACTATACATGCAGCCAAACCTCAAATAACAGAAAATATCTATTTTACAAAGATTCATTATGGTAGGAATGTGCTGTTTTATTCTTAAACACCTTTTTGAACATCTAAATAGTTTATCCATTTTATTGATGAAGTAATGCAGTATCTGTGACAGCATTGAATTATCAGTCTGTTAAGTGCCTGCTTATCTGTGTTGCAGATAAACACGCCCGCCCCAGCTTTGCAAAGGCAAAAAATGCATCATGATTCGGTCCATGATGCGATCAGGTTTGCCACCCCTGGTCTAGATCGTGGTTGTCCAATCTTTTGTTTGGCTAGGCCACATTGAGTAAAGAGGAATTGTCTTCGGCTATATACAATATATATATTATAATTAAAGTATTTTTTAAAACTTCCATTATTTTTTATATTTTGGGGCAGCATTACTAGCTATGCAGGGATACATTTGAGCCAGGGGTTGGATGTGCCTGATCTAGACCTTAAGGAGCCTTTCCAACCCTCTGGTTCAAGGGAAAATGGATTTGGCCTGGCCTGGATTTGAGACTCATACAGCTCTGGTGATTATGGGCAGAGAAATCTGCATTAGGAGCTAGATGGAACAATAATACATGCAAGGAAGTCACAAATAGTGATCATGTGACTGCAAAATCTTGCAGTCATAATTATCACTATACAGTATCATTGTAAGTCCAGTCCCTGAATATGGAGTCATTGAGCAAGGACCACCTGTAGTTCAAATGTCTTAAGTTTTGATAGAGGGATAAAGATCACTAGCTACATAATATGTTAAATTTTCTCTAATTGGTTCCAAGTACAATTTTACTTTGGTATTATCAAGATAAATAGAGTCCTACAGATTTCAAGAAAATGATTTTCCACTCTCAAGTTACCCTGTTTATGCACTGAAGAATGCAAACTTTAATGTTCTTTCTTTTCTTGAATAATTATATCAGTATAGCTAAAAAAAACCTATCTTGTTTACTTTTTTAAAAAAATATTTTACTAGAGGGGCAGCATCTCGCACATAGAAAAATTTCTCAAGTTGTCAGAGAAACATTCGATAATTTGGTGGATAAGTATCCTGAGTACCAGAGTTGTAGCAGTTCAGTAGCTGCCTTCATAATTGAAAGAGGTAGGCATGCTTTCCGTAAATAATACCGTTTAGGTGTTGGTTGTCTTTTTAGCCTGAACACAAAAAATTACTCTTTCCCATAGCTACAAAATATGAAGTGGTAGCTGTTGGAACAGGTGAATTTAACTATAGCCAATGCAGTCATCCTGATGGAAGAGTGTTGCATGATAGTCATGCAGTTGTTACTGCAAGGCGCTCTCTACTTAGGTAAGTATATAATGATGCTCCTCCCCCCTACCCCCGCCGCAGTTACATTTATGTAATTCTATGGTGTTGAAGTTCATAGAAATTCAACTGAATTTAATATGGATTTTAAAGATTTGATATCTAATGTCTAAAATGTTAATGTTTCTTTAAAGGTATTTTTATAGACAGCTTTTGCTTTACTACAGTAAAAATCCTGCTATGATGGACAAATCCATATTTTGTACTGAACCAACATCTAACCTGCTTACATTAAAACCAAATATAAAAGTATTTCTCTACATGAATCAGTTGCCAAAAGGATCTGCTCAGATAAAGTCCAAGTTGTAAGTAGTGTTTTTAAAGGTAAAGCAGAATTAATAAAAAAATACACAATTTCCCTCATAAACATGTTCTTGATTATGTATTCCTGAGGCTTTTTGTTTATTTAATTTATATATTTCATTGTGTTTAGAAGCCCAAAGTGGTATAGATAGTGCTGTCTCCTATTTTTTGTTCCCCCAAAGCTACTCTTTGAGGTAGGTTGTCCAAAAGCTATTCATTGAATTCCTGAGACTGAGTGGATTAGAAACTGTGTCTTTGTACTCCTTGTCCAACACCTCATTTGTTATACTGTGATAAAGTATTAGTGCAGAACAATAAAATACTTTTCAATCTAGCTTTTATTTCAGTGTTTTGTATCCTCTTTAAAATATTGTTTTTATTTCTCTTATCTATATGTTTGGGATATATAAGGGCTGAACTCTATCCTTTGTTGTAGACACCTCAATCCAAACTCAGTATCTGCATTTGAAGCTGATGAAGAATTGTGTCTTCATGTGGTTGTTGAAGGCAAGGTTTATCTCACAGCTTTTTGTCCTGCTGAAATTGCCACAATAAGCAGCATGTCTACCAGTGATAAACTGACAAGGTGGGAAGTATTGGGTGTTCAAGGAGCCCTACTAAGTCACTTCATTCAGCCAATTTATGTTAGCACAATAATTCTTGGTAAGTAAATTATTTCTAATTCAGTAGTGCTATATTATAAAGATTACAGTCATGTGAAAAAGAAAGTACAACCTCTTAGAGTTCTATAGTTTTAGTTAGCACATAACTAAAAATCATCTGGTCCTTTGCAGATCTTAAAAGTAGGTAAATATAACATCAGATGAACAACAACGCATGACATATTACATCATGTCATCATTTATTTTACAAAAGAAAAATAAAATGCATATGTGGAAAAACTAGTTACACTCTTACTGCTTCCATAGGTATGAAGCAGCTAAGTAGCGAGGTGGTGCTAATCTACTGCCTTTAATTAATTGATCATTGGTAAATGTGACTACCTTTATAAAAATCAAGATTTTAGAAGATTGCTGATCTCCAGCATAGAAGTGTGTGTTAATACAACACCAAAGAGTAAAGTCATCAGCAGTGATTTTAGAGAAGCAGTTGTTGCTGCCCATCAATCTGGGAAGAGTTATAAAGCCATTTCCAATTTAAATCCCATCATTTTACAGTGAGGAAGATTACTCATAAGTGGACAAACATTCAAGGTAGTTACAAATCATCCCAAAAGTGGATGTCCCAGCAAATTCACTCCAAAGTCAGACCATGGAATGTTCAGAGAAATTGCAGAAAAATCAAAGTTACAGCTCAAGACTCCACAGGCTTCAGTTAGCATGTTAAAGTACATGACAGTAAAATAAGAAAAAGACTGAACAAGTATGGTTTGCTTGGAAGGGTCACAGGAGAAGGCCTCTCTTCTCTCTAAAAAAAGAACATGACAGCATGGCTTAGGTTTACAGAGTTGCATCTAAACAAATCACAAAACTTCTGGAACACTGTCCTTTGGACAGATGAGACTAAAGCGGAGATGTTTGACCATAATGCACAGTGTCACTTTTGGTGAAAACAATGTATATCAGCACAAACATCTCATACCAACTGTCAAACAGGTTGGTGGAGGGGGTGATGTCTTGTTTTGCAGCCACAGGACCTGGGCATTTTACAGTTTTTGAGTCAACCATGAACTTTTCTATATAATAAAATATTCTAAAGTCAAACATGAGGCCATCTGTCCGACAGCTAAAGCTCTCTGGCATTGGGTCATGTAACAGGAAATGATGTCAAGTGCATCAGCATATCTATAACAGAATGGCTGAAAAAAGAACCAAGGATTCCAATGGCCCCGGGCAAAATCCAGACCTCAACTCAATTGAAATGTTGTGGTGAGACCTCAAAAGACTTGTGAATAAACAAATGCCCGCAAACCTCAATGAATTGAAGTAATGTAAAGAAGAGTGGGCTAAAATTCCCCCACAATGATGTGAGAAAGTCATACAGAAAACAATTACTTCAAGTTATTACTGCTAAAGGTGGTTCTACAAGCGATTGAATCACAAGGTATATTTAGTTTTTTACAGATGATTTCTCCATTTTGGTTTTATTTTTGTAAAATGATAGTGTAATATGTCATGCATTGTTAATCCGAGATTGTATTTACCCTTTTCACATGTCTCTATTATAAGAGTGAAGTTTATTAGATAAAAAATACAGGTTTAAATCAGTGGTGGGATTCAATTTTTTTAACAACCGGTTCTGTGGGCGTGGCTTAGTTGGGGGTGTGGCTTGGTGGTCATGTGACTAGCTGGTCATGTGACTAGGTGTGGCTAGCTGGTCATGTGACCGGGTGGGCGTGGCTATGTGCATAGCGACTACTCAGAGGGCTGAAAAAAGTCATTTCTGACAGATCCTCGCACTTTTGACAGGTCCTCACACTTATGACCATTTATGTCCGTTGCGGCATTCTTAACAACCGTGTCAGTCATTTCACCACTACTTCTCTTCACCACGGTGACAAGATAGGGTGCAAAAGGTAAAATGTGAGGACAGTCGTAAATTCAAGGACTGGTCAAAAGTGCGAGGACCGGTCAAAAATAATTTTTTCAACCCTCTGAGTAATCCATATGCACATAGGGACTACCCAGAGGGCTGAAAAAAGTAATTTCTGACAGATTCTCGCACTTTTGACCGGTCATCATTTATGCCATCATTTATCTTCTAGTCCAGAGATCTCCAACCTTGGCAACTTTAAGCCTGGCAGACTTCAACTCCCAGAATTCCCCAGCCAGCTATGCTGGCTAGAGAATTCTGGGAGTTGAAGTCCACAAGTCTTAAAGCTGCCAAGCTTGAAGACTTCTGAACTAGGGCTTTGGGGCCAACCTTTTGGGGAGGGGGTCCCATTCGGAGAGACCCCCTGCCTCTCAGGAAGCATCAGGCTCAGGCAGAGAAAGTTGCCAAGATTGGAGATCTCTGGACTAGAAGACCTCCAAAGGTCCCTTCCAACTCTGTAATTCTGATATTGGTAAGCAAGCACAATTAAGCTACTTAAATCCTCCAGAGCCTTAGAAGATGGTAAAGCAAAGCCCACCCCCGCCCCGGCTTTCCGCCCAGAGCCTTTTCCTCTCTTCCTAAGGCTGAATCTCCCCTAGTTTTGGAGGAACTTCAGTCGCAACACTCACAGCGTGATCTAGATTGGGATCTACCTTGATGTGGTGCAACTTCAGGATCGCCCCCTCTTTCTGCGCCGAGGCAGCAGCTCACGATTGGTGGAGCTGAGCCAGCCTAACTTGGCTCAAATCAGCGGCCCAAGCACAAGTTCTGGCTTCTCGCAAATCGGCGGGCCTGGCTCTCTCCAGAGATTTGCTGCCACGCTTCGATCAATCAATCCAGCCCCACTTTCTCCCTGCCTCTGCGGTGGAGCCAACCCCGACATAGCTTCGGCATCCCTCAGCATTGCCCCTTACCAGGCAAGGGAATGCCATCGCGCCCCAAGAGAGCCGCAGCAAAACCCAAGGACCGCCCCGATTGTTGCCGCCAGAGGGATTCAGCTTGCCTGCTCCTCCAACCGCCTTAGTAACAGCGTTCCTGCCTTAAAGGGGAAGACAGTGTAGAAAGGGGAAAAACAACAACAACAACTCTGCCGATGCAAAAGGGGCCAACTCGTAAGCGGCTGCTTTAAATTGGTCAGAGCCAGCAGGAAATTAATTCCCTCTCAGTTTCTGGAATGGGAAGGAAGGAAGGAAAGGGAGACATTTCTCGGGAAATAGCCGGGGTGCTTATTATATATACTGTAAAACAGAGGTCTTCAAACTTGGCAGCTTTAAGATTTGTGGACTTCAATTCCCAGAATTCTCCAGAATTCCCCAGAATGGGCTAGGCGGGAGTTGAAGTCCACAGGTTGTAAAAGAGCCACAACTGCCCACCCCTGGGCTAGGGTAGGCTGACGCCGCGCGTGTGGAAGGCGGGGCAGGGCTAGGGGCGGGCAAGCCAGCAATTTAACAAACGATTCGGTGTGCTGCGAGGCCAATAAATTACAAAAAAACCACCGAACCGTTTGTTAAATTACTGGCTCACTCGTCCCGCCCCGCCCCCACTATTTTTTGGCAAGGGACGGGGTGAGCCAGCAATTTAACAAACGATTCAGTGTGCTGCGAGGCCAATAAATTACAAAAAAAACACTGAACCGTTTGTTAAATTACTGGCTCGCCCGCCCCACTATTTATTGGCAAGGGGCGGGGCGAGCCAGCAATTTAACACGGTTCGGCCGAACCGCCTAGAACCGGCAGAATCCCACCACTGGTTTAAATGCTACATTTATTTTCAATTAAAAATATGAATTGTTTTGACTTTCTAAACAAGGTATACAAAATTGCAGTGCTGAAATTCTGTGAAATCCTCATTCAGAACTTAAGTATACAGATTTCAGTATGTATTCATAGGCAGTCCTTGGCCTAACTGATGCTTGTTTTATAATGAATGATTTAGGAGATTTATGTATTTAAACTGATATATGAATCTGCTATTTAATTGCAAATGCATTTTAAATAGGACTGAAATAATAAACGCAAATTTTATTGTCAGTATCTGGTTTTCAGTAGCTTTAAATTTTACTGCTCTACATAAGTAAATGTCTACTGTAATTTCACAGAAGTTCATCTTGATATTTATAGTGACAGTGACAATAGAATTAATTTCCAAGTTAATTCTTTGATCTTCTTTTTAATATTTGTGATATGAATCTCAATTTTTTTTAGGGGACGCAAACTGCTCTAGTACAAGAGGATTAGAAATAGCCATCAAACAGCGCATAGATGATGCACTTAGTAAAAAACTTCCCATGTTCTACCTTGTGAATAGACCTCATATTAATTTGGTAACTGCTGCATACGCTGTGCAGATTGACCTGGACCATAGGTCTCTTAGTCTGAATTGGTCACAGGGGGACTTATCCCTGGAGGTGATAGATGGATTAAATGGAAAAATCATTGAAAGGTCAGTGTTGCAATAAACTCCATTAAATAAAATATGAACTAACATACTTGTTCTTTAGAAACATCATAGACATCTTAATTTTATTGAAATAATTTTGACAGGGACTTCTTTCAAAATATTTTTCAAATTTATTACGTAATGATAGTTTACAGTTTTAACCAGTGGTAATTGTTCTTGGAATATGCTCATTATTATTGCTATCTTTTTCAAAATTAGTTCACCCTTCAAAAGTGGTATTTCAATGGCAAGTCGTCTTTGCAAAGCTGCAATGTTAAGTCGCTTTAAGTTAGTGGTTAAAGAATCAAAGAGAGAAGATTTACTTAAAGCAACAACTTACCATGAAGCAAAGGTAACATTAGCTAATATAAATGTGGTCTAGTAAAAGTGTCATAATTTCTAATGTAGAATTATAGCTATTGAACTATTGGCTTCAAAGCTAAGTAATAATCATGGTGTGATTTAAGTATTAGCAAGGAAAAGTGCCATTATTTGAGATTTGTTGGAGAATTGATATTAGATTTGGAAAGTGGATCTGCATGTTTCTTGTCTTAACTTCACAGGATGACTTCATGTTACTGCCAAGTCTATAAGTAGGAATCATATTATCAAAAACAAGCCACTTTTACTTAAGTTAATAGCTGTTTTCAGAATTTCTTCCCATCTTTCTATCCCTTGTTTCTTTTTTACACTTGTAACAAAAGAAGAAAAATTATTGAATATTCTTTCATTGTAGCCTTGAGGAATTTAGGATATGTAAAGAGATAGAAAAATTGGAATTGCCTATACGATCTGCATAGGCTTTTTCCTATTCCCCCAAACTACTACATTAATAGATTGTGGAAAGCAAAAAGTAACGTTCAAGCTCAACTTCATTCTTAGCAACTATAGGACCAGTATACAATCCTAGGATTTATTTAGATCCTCTGTCCAATGAATCCCAATACTGTTTACTGTTTCTGTTCCATATACATGTAGTCCTCAATTTACGACCACAGTTGAACCAAAAGTTTCCATTGCTAAGCGAGCAGTTAAGGGAGTTATACCTCATTTTGCAACCTTTTTTGCTACAGTTGTTACAACGAATCACTACAGTTGTTATGTGAATCATACAGTCATTAAGCAAATCTGGCTTTCCCCATTGTCTTTGCTTGTCAAAAGACGCCTGGGAAGAGTACAAATAATGATCACATGACCTCAGAACAGTGTAACTTATAAATACATGCCAGTTGCCAAGTGCCAGAATTTTGATCACGTAATCATGGTGTCATAAGTGTGGTAATAAGTCACTTTTTTCAATGTTGTTGTAATTTCAGTCGCTAAAAGAAAGGTTGTAAGTTGAGGACTACCTGTAGTGACTTCTGTTCAGATCATTCATTCATGTGTTCATTCATTCATGTGACAGGTGACATACAGCTCTTCTTTAACTTAAAACAAAATGTAAACAGAATAAAAACAGTCAAAACCATAAAAATCACAGTATAAGATCTAGGAAAAGTTCCAGCTATCCATTATATCAGTTAAAAATCAGAAATAACATGCATTTCTTGAAAAGGGTTATTCTTAGGATTTCTTACCAATTTCTTATCAATTCCTCAGTTTTGTTTTGTTTTTTATTTAGATTATGGCAGAATCTTACCAAGGGACAAAATATTTGCTGAAATCCTATTTGGAGCAACATGGTTATGGGTCTTGGATTGTGAAGTCTCCACACATTGAATATTTCAGCATGTAAAGGTTAATGTACCAGCTCTATGACCTAAAAAATAAGCTTTTGCTCTTCAGAAGAATTTTGTAATTGGTTAATGATTGTGGATCAGTGTTGACCAGTAATATGAGCTGATAGATAAAAAAAATGTGCATAAACATAAGCAAAATAAATATACTATTTAGTTAATATATGCAGGTCTTTTTATTTCTTTGTCAGTGTAAAAATAATAAAAGTTGAATTAGTTTATGCTATGTACTTGGTGCAACCTGCTATCTCAAAGACTGAATTTGAGGAGTACCTTTGGGAAAACATAGTGTGGTTGACAATAGTTTTGATCTGTACCATGTTATACAATAGTAGAACCAGCTATATGTCATTGACTTGCTTTCTGAAAAGTTATGTGCAATTCTGGCATAAAAAGCCACAGTTCACCTTGTTAATCATATTGAAACTTTGTGGGTTTAAATCCCTTTTCAGTTGTGGGACTTAAATTTATCTGCAGGAAACTACACAAATTATGCTTGCATTACAAGAGTAAACGCCTACAAATACATTTTGAACAAAGTGTGTTATCTGTTTGCTGTATATTATGGAATTAATTCTGTAACTTGTAGAACTTTCAAACAATATTTGGCTCATTAATATAAACAACTTAGAAAATGTATTGGGTATCTCAAAATATTTAATTTGTAATTTGATTCCTTTGTTTTTCTTAATACTTAAAGTGAATATGGATACTGCTTTGTATCATAATACTACACTTTATTTCTAGTAAAATAAGCATGATTTGACTAATTTTTGAGAGTATAGTTCATTAATATACTGAAACACTCCAAGCCCATAAAATACTTTTTGCTGGAAAAGGGCAACAAGCAAGAAAACGCAAAACTACAAGCAAAAGAGAATATTCCTTAGAAGTTAAACTATTTTGAGGGTGGGACAACCTTTAGAGTTAAATATTTTCATTGAAATGAAAATTGAAATATTGAACATAGAAAAGTGTTATAGAATGGCCCTATGGAACAGTTAAAACTATTTGAAGGAGTAAATCTTACAACCACTTTAATCGATAATTCACTTTATGGATTTGTCTTTAGTTTAAGAAAGAATCTTCATGATGGTTACTGAAAATGATTGTTTATGCAATTGTACATGAATGCAAAGTATTTGCCTTGTAGAGACCATACCTCTCATAAATGATTTCCTTTTATTTGTGGACCAACCAAACCACAAAGTCAATTTTTTTTTATTTTTTTTTTGTGATTAGACTTCCTATGTTTAAATTTGGCATAAGAATTTGTATACAAGCATTTTTACTTTATTTCATTGTGTGTATTGAAATCAATATATAATAAATTTAGCAATATTCAATGTTTATTTCTTTGCTAAATTAATATTTTCCAGTAAAACTAGTCTCTGCTATAAATCAAGAATTGTCTAAATTTCCCTTTTATAAGAAAATGAGCCATTTTCCCTTCCCTGGAGCAATTTTTTTCGAGTAGTATTACAACAGATCTTTGGAGAGATTATTCTTCCCAATCATAAAATCAAGCATTCAACAAGTAATAAGCAGATATTCTATATGTATCTTGCTGAAAAATTATACAGTCACAAGATTTGCTAGGAATTGTGAAGAAGCGAATGACATTGTCCTTTTTTCAAATCTCATGTCTGTAGACCTATTCACAGAAAAGCACTTGTTCCTAATGGCAAGTATTTATTTGTATGACCCTGTATAGCAGCAGCCTCCAGCTTCTCCAGCATTGCGGACTGATGGGGGGAGGGGATGGTTCCATGCGAGCAGCTCTATTTGTGCAAGCGGCAGGCATGTGCATCTGCTGCTCACAGAAATAGAGCTGTGTGCGCTCACCTCTCTGCTATGCATGCAAGTGAAACAGCATGCATTTGTGTCCGCCACTTCTGCAGCTTGGTTCTGAATTGTCCGTGGCCCAGGGCATGGAGACCCCTGCTGTATATGATTGAATTTTGCAGGTGGTATACAAACAATCTGCAATTTATCAAAATGCAATCTACAGAAGGAAACAAAGATAATTGCCATAAAGAAAAGTATTTCATGAATTTATGATGATAACCTAATATTAAACTATTGAAATCAAAGCATGGGTGTGGGCTCCTTGAGCCATAGGGCAAATAATGTAGAACTATCTTATTGATGAGGTTGCAAGACTAATCAATTAATAAACTACTCTAATTTAGAGCTGTCATTAAATAGTAATACTTCTTGGTTTTAAGTCCTTTTACATTATATGGCTTAAAGACCCAGGCAGTGTCTCTTGAGATGGATATCTAGATCGGTTGATTTTAATTAGACAGTCCTGGAACAGAGTACTAAGCCTTGTAATATTTAAAACGCTTAAGCGAGCACCTTGAATTGGTCAGAAATTACTGTAGTAACTAATGCAGCAACCTCAATGTATATGTGACACTACCAGATCTGTCACTTCCTGAACCAACTGCAAGTTCTGGGATAGATTCAAAGGAAGCTCCATGTAAAGGATGTCCAACTTTTTGGCTTACCTGGGACACATTGAGTGAAGAGGAATTGTCTTGGGTCACATATACAATATATAGCTAATGTATGTATATAAAAACTTCCTTATTTAATACATGATGTGGGGCCAGCTGTTCAGGACCACATGTGGCCATCAGTTGGACATACGGGGTCTAAATACAAGGGCATGAGTCACAGTTGCAAGAGAGTTTTGATCGAAAAAGATAGAACATATAGAATAACAGTTGGAAGGGACCAACTCTGGAGGTCTTCTAGTCCAACCCCCTGCTTAGGCAGGAAACCCTACAGCATTTTGGGCAAATGGTTATCCAATCTCTTCTTAAAAACTTCCAGTCTTGGATCATTCACAACTTCTGGAGGCAAGTTGTTCCACTGATTAATTGTTCTCACTCAGGAAATTTCTCCTTAATTCCAGGTTGCTTCTCTCCTTGGTTAGTTTCCACCCATTGCTTCTTGTCCTGCCTTCAGGTGCTTTGGAGAATAGCTTGACGCTCTCTTCTTTGTGGCAACTCCTGAGATATTGGAACACTGCTATCATGTCACTCCTAGTCCTTTTAATCAAACTAGACACCCAGTTCCAGCAACCATTCTTTATGTTTTAGCCTTCAGTCTCCTAATCATCTTTCTTCTTCTCTGCATTCTTCCTAGAGTCTCAACATGTTTTTTACATCATGGTGACCAAAACTGGATGCAGTATTCCAAGTGTGGCCTTACCAAATCATCACAAAGTATCCAGTACAAATGGATTCAGAAATGTCCTATTTTGGCAGAAACATACAGTATGTTCTTCAAAGCTGATATGTCCCTCTCTCTCAAATAAACTGATCATTTACCAAATAAAATCTTACCCCACAATTATCTAGCCACTCAAAGAAACCAACCCCTAGGGAATATTATCCACTTCCACAGTTTTTATGAATTCAAAAGAACTTTGATTGCTCTTGGAAACCAGAAGTAAAGTTATAAGATTGCCCCAGTGGCATTTTTAAGTGAATGAAAATAATTTTATCTGCAAATAGCATCAGAAAATTATTATAGCAGCCAATGGATAGATCTTCCATTTCCAAGCAAATTGATAACCCTAGGTAACCCTTAGCAAGGCTCGCAGTATACAGATAGTCCTGGATTTAATACTCCCACCTCTCCTCTTCCTAATGTTGTCAAATCATACAGGTTGCTAAAAGGAGCACTGGCTTCCTTGAAAGGCCTATCCTGGAAGAAACTGCTATTTTCTGAATGCCTACATGGAATTATGGCTGCTCCAGGATCACATTGCATGGGTCAGTGTTCTGGCAGCCCAGAAGCAAGCCTCTCCATTGCTGAGTTGCACAGCACAATTCCACAAGCAGGTATCATTCTTTTGAGTGGCTACTTCCAGGATGATTCTCTGCAGCCACAAGCCAAATGGCACGATCCCAGAAGTGGCCACCTGGAAAATTGTGGCCGCATGTGGGATTGCAGTGTAATGCAGTGTGATCCTAGCAATGGAGAAGCCTCCTGGCTTCACTAATTCGAGCTCTGCAGCATTTTGCTGTTGTGGAATGCTGCAGAGCTCGTGTTAGCTAAACAAGCCTCTTGCTGAGCTGCAAGGTGTGATACTGGAAGTCTCTATCATTTTCCGAGAATCCACAATTCAGTACGGCTGTTTCTTCATTTTTGGTGTTCTTTAGAGAACACTATCCCAAAGGTGCTTTTTCAAGAAGCAACTGGACTTTCTGGTTTTTCTTTGAAGACATTTCTCATCCAAGAAGCTTCTTCAGCTCTGGGACTACAGATGTTAATTGGATGCAATCTTGCCTTGTGCTTTACTCCGCATTGAACTCCAGAAAGCAATCAGGTATACTGATTGCTGAGGAAATCCCTAAATGCTCTTAATAAATTATTTGACTCAGTGAAGCACCTGTGTCAAATCAGCTTGCTTGGCCTATCACCCGTGCAGCGGTCGCACAATCTAATAACTGTGAATAAATTAATGATCTGACTATAGCAGTGGATTGATAACAATGTCCTCCAAGTTTAGATCATGCTGCCATTGTACCAAAAATTAGTATATGATCATTTGTTTCAGGACAGATATGATATAGGACAAGATCATGGAAGCTATGGAATCTAAAGTCTGACCAGAACTCATATTCAGGGGATAAAAATCGGAGCCTAGACAACTCCAACACAAATTCTCATTAAGAGTTGCAGCTTTATAGGATTTGGTATAGGATTTGATGGACATACCTTGGACAGGGCCACATTGCCATCTTCATTCAATTTAGTTTATGTGATGCAGTTGTTTGTTTATTTATTTATTTATTTATTTATTTATTTATTTATTTATTTATTTATTTATTTGATTTCTATACCGTCCTACTCCCGAAGGACTCAGGGCGGTGCACAGCCAAACAATAAAATACATACATACAAAATTTAAAAGTAGAATTAAAATCAAATTAAATAGTTTTGGCCCAGACAAATTAAAACCCCAATCAATTTAAAACCAATTTTAAAATTTGAATATATAAAATACTAAAAGATATTAAAAATTAAAAATCTTTTATAAAAGAGGGAGAAAATTAGGCCAGGCCCGCTTGGTGAAATAATAAGGTCTTTAGAGCACGGCGGAAAGTGCGCAGATCCGGGATCCTCTGTATCTCCGGGGGGAGCTCGTTCCACATAGTAAGTGCCCCCACAGAGAAGGCTCTCCCCCTGGGGGCCGCCAGTCGGCATTGTTTGGCTCTCTATGGGAGCATACCAGCCGGTGGGAAGCTATTGGTGGTAGTAGGCGGTCCCGCAAGTACCCAGGTCCTGAGCCATGGAGCACTTTAAAGGTGGTAACCAAAACCTTGAAGTGCACCCGGAAGACTACCAGGAACCAGTGCAGCTCGCGCAGGAGGGGTGTTACATGGGAATGCCATGTAGCTCCCATTACCATCCGCGTGGCCGCACTCTGCGCCAGTTGGAGCCTCTGGGTGCTCCTCAAGGGGAGGCCCATGTAGAGAGCGTTGCAGTAGTCCAGGCGGGAAGTGACGAGGGCATGAGTGACTGTGTGTAGGGAGTCCCGATCCAGAAAGGGACGCAACTGGCGAATCAGGCGAACCTGATGAAAAATCCTCCCGGTCACGGCCGTCAAGTGCTCTTCTAAAGACAGCCGTGAATCCAGGAGGACGCCCAAGTTGCGCACCCTCTCCGTAGGGGCCAATGATTCCCCCCCAATAGTCAGTGATGGCACCAACTGACTATATCGGGACGTCAGAAACCACAGCCACTCGGTCTTGGATGGGTTGACCCTGAGCCTATTCCTCCCCATCCAGTTCCGCATGGCCTCCAGGCACCGGGACATCACTTCAAGGGCATTGTTGGGGTGGTCTGGGGTGGAGATGTACAGCTGGGTGTCGTCAGCGTACTGGTGGTACTTCACCCCAAAACCTCGGATGATTACTAATAATTATAATAAAATAAAAATAAATACAACCATAATTAAAAACAACAAAATAACAAAAAATAGCAGCCAAGAAAACTCATAAACATTCAAATTACCCATAAAATGGGTTCACCCATAAAATCGGAGCTTTGGGTTAATGGCAAAGCCAGATTTTGGGTGCCTTGTGGAAAGCCAGCAGGGTTGAGAGAAGTCTGATTTTTAGAGATGATGTTCCATAGGATGGATTAAAAGTCTTTCCTTCTGAGTCCTGATAGTGACAATTTTGTGGATGGAATACAGAGCCTGCTTCTACTGCCAGATCTAACCGGATGGGTAGATGGTACTGGGGAGATATTATCTCACAAGTAACACTTTTAGCATCCTGTATTAAAAGAGTGTTCTTTTTGCTGTTATCTGTGCCTTCAGGTGA